GAAAGACATTGTGAAAGTTTGAATAAAAGGAAAATAGATGGTTGAAAAAAATACGATTTGTATATAAAAAAAATGAGGAATTTTTTTTTTAAAAAAATAAAGAAAAAAGAAAATGAATTATATATATAATTAATTATTATTACGCCAATTTCAAAAATGAATATATCTGTCAAACAAATGCTCATTTAAATTAATTTATTATATACTTATTAAAAAAAGTTAGTAAATGTTTGAATTAATTGTTGAATAGTAGTGAATAAAATTTTAATTTCAAATTAAGAATCTATAAAATAAAGTTTTAAATTATTAATTTTTATTAAAAGTTAATTTTAGTTATAGATGTTTAAAGTTTTAGTTCAATTAAATAAAAAAATCATTTAATATTTTTAAGGTAAAATAATCTTTAAATTTTATTTTATAAGTATAAATATTTTTAATATAAATGATTTTGTAGATCAATTTTAATTAAGATAAATAATAGTCAATATCTTTTTGATTAACTTATAATATTAAAATTTTATTTTGATATAAATAATCTTATCAGTTAAAATAAAAATTTATTTTTAATATCATTTAAACACTTTTAATATTATAATAATTTTTGAAGAAATATGTAATTGATTATTATTATTTATTGAGAATTTTAAGTATTAACATATGATTTATTTGGAATTTATTTTGAAGAATTATCAAAATTGTTAGATTTGTTATTATATCTTCTTAGTGATCTATATACAGCAAGCCTAAAATGATTGTAAAATTATTGTTAAGGTTGGAAGATCTTTATAATATATAATCTTTGACTTTATAAACAGAATTATCATATTTTTAATAATATAATATAGTCTGATTAACCTAAGAAAAGATATTTAATTTAAATTTGTGATAGAAATTGAGGGTAATCTTATAATTATCTTGATTATTAAAATTAATATATGTATAAGAATAATTTCTATACTGTAAGTCATATAAAATAAAACATGTTTTTATATTAATAATAATGAGAAAACCTAAAGATCTCTTTATATAGTATTGAAAAATAAGCATATTAGTTTTAATTCAAATTGTTATTTTAAAATAGATTGAATTTATATATTAATAAAAAAGAAGATTATATTAAATATTAATTATATAATAAAATAAATATATTTTAACTTTCTTTTTAAAAATAAAAAATTTTTATTATATTAATTATTAATTTTTTTTATAATACTTGTTGTATTTTTTTTATTAAGGTTTATACATAATAAATTATTTATTTAAAATAAATTAAATTTTATCAAAAATAATTATTATATAATAAATTTTATCAAAAATAATTATTATATAATAAATTTTATCATTATAATTAGAATTAATATATTTTTTATAATATTAATTTTTAATTATAATTTTTAATTTATAATAGATTTTATTAGTTTAATTTTAAAAATGAATTTTATAAAATATATATATTTAAATAGATTTAAATTTTATAAAAAAAATGATTATTAATATGTTATTAATAACTTCTATAATATAGATTATGTAAAATTACTATCTTTATATAGTTAAATTTCTTTAAATGTATTTTTTTTAAAACTATAGTAAAAATTTTAAAATATGCATTAAAAAAAAAACTTTAAATGATTTTTATATGCTTAAAATTGAATGAAAATGTGTATTTAAAGAGAAAATATATAGTGTGTGCATTTAAAGAAAGTTGACTGTACTAATATAATAATAAGTATTGATAATAGATAAATTTACTTATATAGAACTAATAAAATTTAGAATCTGTGATTAATAAGAACTGATTTGTAATAAATAAGTGATATTATTTGCAAAAAATAAACCTATAAAAATTAGTATCTAATAGTAAAAATAATGATAATTTAAAAGGCAGATATTTATAAGTTTCAGTTAGTTGATCTTGTATTGTTTTTCTATTATAATATTTAAGTTTCATGTTAGGATTCAATTCTCAGGTTATTTGATGATATAATAAGCATGTCTGTATATATAGGATCTTAGTTTAGGCTTACTTAATACCTCTATCTAATAGTATGAAATATCTAACAAAATATTCAGATATCATATATTTGTTTTCTGTAAACATTTGGATGGAATCTTATTCTGATATAATTTTTAGGAAAGTGAATAATTAGAAATTCCAAGATTGTATTAATTTTTTTTTACGATATTTTAATGATAGATTAACACCAATTCGTTTATAGGGAATTTTTTATTACTTTTAATATAATACCTGGATAATTTCCACATAATTTACTATGAAAAAAAAAGAAATAATATATATAATAAAATTCCGGGCGAGCAGGCGCCTAATATCAGAGTTAGAAATAAATTAATTTTTTTTTACTCGATCTTTAAACTTCCCGTCACGAATTCGAATTATTATAATTACAAATTCAAAACTTCTTCAGTAGTGTTCCATTTATAAAGTTGTTTTTCAAAATCTTTTGGGTTCCAATCTTCATCATGTAACAAGGTAGGAGAATCTTTCCAAACGTAAGTCATTGCTTCTATAAGATTGTTATCAACATATACTTGTACTTTCTTTTTCTCATATTGCTGAAGAAACCGAATGAAGTTAATGTGATATATTAAAATGAAAAAAGAAAATAGGTCAAGCTACAATAAATTATATACACTTACAGAACCCTCAAAGTTATCTAACCTAGCTATATCTTGCGATGATAAACCTCCAAGTAAAACACCAGTTATCTCATCTTTTAAATCATCTCCCTTTAAAATAGCGGGATAAACTGCTCCAATAACTTTATGTCGTTTATAACCCTTAATGATATGATTAAAAAGAGATGAACGAATTAATTACCGAAAAAACAAGAACTTTTTATTTTGATAATAAATTACCTTTAATACCGCGGAAACACTTTCTTTGATATTAATAGGTTTTTCCGTGTTGCTTCTTCCATTCTCTAAAACACGGTTTAATATTTGTGGGAATATAAGTGTACCATAAAAGAAACATGTAAATTCATTGTTCATATTCACCAAAATTTCCTTAAACTTTTATCTCTTTTTCAAAGAAAATTTTAATTCTACGTTTATTAGAAATTCAATTAGTTGGGCATTTCAATTTAATAATTTAATAATCTACCGAGTACACGACACAAAACTTTATCGCACAAAATTTACTTGATACACGCCACGTGGTATTTCAGGTTAGATAAGTTTATTTATTATTATTAATGTTTTTCTTCTCTTTCAGCTTAACATAAAAAATTTCAGCTCAATATCACCATCCTAGAATTGTGGCTCCTTTTGATAAGCCAGATAAATTGTAAATTAACTTTTCTTTAATATCCATAATTTAGATAAATTCAATGGTCCGTTCTTCACATAATTCCTGCTCATGTTTACCATAATGAGCCTTTTTATAATCGAATACTTTGTAACATAATATTGAAACTTAAACGAAAAGATTCGTACAAAGATGGTTGAAAATAATAAGTTTGAACTTTAGAGCCAATATTATCCCTGTTATAACCGCTATGAACCGGAACTTCGAATTTTGTTGAAACATACACCCAAATTTATTATTAAAGCGATTGGCCCATGTATTGTTTATGTATAAATGATTTTTTTTTCCATGCTACCTCTAATCTCAACGTTTCTTATTTAATCATTTCTGTATTTGAAATACATTTATATGAATGAATATATGGCATAGAACAAAAAAAAAAACTCATCTTGGTACTAATTCTTCTATTCTCGATACCTCCAACGTAAAACCTGGTAAAGTGTCGTCACCATCCAAATTACTCCAATTACAGTAACGACGAAAAACATTGCCACCTTTGTTTCACTTGTAGATCCAGATCTTAAAGTGAAAAGGATCGATCAGCCAACCGAGCTGAATAGACGTGAGTGGGTCAAAATAAGATTCTTTAAACTTGACATCCAACTGTTTGAATTTCTCGCTATCGATATTTTCTACGTTATCGACCTCCACAACAAACGTAGGATTGAACGGTTTGCCATGGAAGGTATTAAGTTGTTCATAAGTCAGATTGCGTCGGATAAAATCAGGCGTAAATGCAACTTATGGTGTTCGAATCTCCCCCGTTTCGAGATGAAAACCTCCCAGCGAACCGGTCACTGCGCCTTTCTGCCTAGTCCAGACGTTCCAATTTGCGAGTTGACTCGTAACCTCCGTGACAATTACATTATAGCGAAATGGTGTCAGTGGTATGGGAACGAGTTTGCCAAATTTATCGAGTTCGAAGAGATTGGTGAAAATCCCATTGATTTCCAAGGTACGATATTTGAGTTGTTCGTTTATCATTTCAAACTCTTTGAGAGTGTAACTACGATTTAGGTCCAAACGATCCAAATCAAAATCCGTCTCCATTGCAATGTTCTCACTTTCATCAACACCTACAGTTTCATTCACTGACGAAAAACTGCCGTTCTTGGACATGTTTGCTTTCCTAGAATAAAAGGATGTCGGTATTTACCTAAACTATTTCGTGTAAATCGGTTATTGTACAGCTAATTTCAATAATTTTGATATTGATCGTTGACCTCTTATATAATCTTGGTGTCCTTAAAATAGACCCCGAATTTAAGTGGAACTCATTTGAACAATCACGTGACAGTTACTTTTACCTAGATTTGTTCGTAATCTGCATATCACGTGATCAAATGACCAAGGATTTTATTGCCTCCCCAATTAATCGTCCATATATATTTTTTTTCTCTATATAATGTTAAAATTACCTTCGATACAAGAGTGTTTAAAAAATCTTCGAGATTATAAACCAAAGAATGATTATTTTAACACAAAATATGCAAAAAAAGCCGCAGTATTGGTGCCATTAATTATTAATGAAGAATTAGAAATTTTATTTACATTACGTTCACCTAATTTATCAAGTCATGCCGGAGAAATCTCATTACCGGGAGGTTAATATTTGGGGGGAGTTTGGGAAGTTCTCGGTATCTAAGGATTTTTAATTAAATTTTTTTATTGTAGGTAAAGTTGATGATATTGACGAAAATTTAATTGCCACTGCAGTAAGTTTTATATATGTAAATCGTTTTATTTTAATTTAATTAAACATAATTTAAATAGTTTAGAGAAGCCGAGGAGGAGGTAGGATTAAAGTCAGGTGACGCGGTATATTTAACACATTTAGAGCCATTTATGTAAGTAATAAAGATTTTTTTTTTTTTTCTGTCTTTTTTAAAATGATCACTTTAATTTTAATCGATTCTTAAATAGCTCAGCGAATATATTATTAGTCACACCGGTAGTGGCATTGATAACAAATCCAACATTTAGACCTATACCAAATCCATCAGAAGTATCGGAATGTTTTACCGTTCCATTAAGAGTATTCATATCAAAAGAATATCATGCGTCATCTGACGTTTCATGGAGGAATGCCTTATATAAATCTCATCGTTTTAATTGGAATAAATGGATTGTCATTGGTTTAAGTGCAAATATGTGTATTGAAGTAGCTAAGGTTGCTTTTAGTATACATAATGTTGGTTGGGAAGAACTTGCCAAGGGTCAGCTTTCAAGGCAAGAAAGCGTTGAAAAATTATTAAAAGATATTGAAAACACTGAAAAACGATCGAACATTAGCAAATTATAAAACACTAACCTAAAGGTGATTAAAATCTCATCTTTGTAGATAAATATGAGAGAAACAAATTTTTTTTTAATATTAAGTCTTCATAAAAATGTTTTATTATATTATTATTATTATTAGTGTTTGATACAAAATATAAGATGAATGAAAATTACTTTTTTTTTTTTTTATTTATGTCGTTATGCCTTCATCGTCACAACCACATTTATATTTTTCAGCAACCGTTCCACAATCAAATATTTCTTTTTTTAATCTTTGATTAACGATATTATGGACAGCGCAGGCCCATTGAGATGCTGCTACTCTTGAAGATACTTGTGGTGGATATTTCTCAAGGATGGATTGAAATTCCGTTGCGCTATAAGGATGATAACTGGTTAGACTGATGTTTGATTAAAAGAATATACGTATTCATACGTTATTTACCATTCGCCGCAAGGATATAATCTACTAAATAAATATATGAAGCTTTTAAGAGCTTCTTTTTCATCTGGTGTTGGTTGCTCCGGAAATCGTCCCATCATTGTATGAAGTAACTAATGAATTATAAAAAAAAAATTAATTCGAATCCAAAAAATAAAAAATATAAATTATTTTTTTTTTTTTTTCTTAATACCTTCCAACTGCTACGTCCAAGCTCGGCTCTTTTGAAACATAAATAAATAAGTAAATAAATGCAGAGTTGGAAATAAAAAAAAAATTATTTCGCGCTAAATAAAAAATATATACTTGATAGTTGCATTCCCCAATTGGGGCATTACGACTGGTCCTGTTATAACATCATGATTAATCTCGGGCAAGGGAGTGATCTGTTCACGAGTATGAATAGAGGATTTTAAATATAAAAATGACGGTAATATAACTATTAAAAGTAAGATGAAAAATAATGAAAGCGGACGCATATTATGTGACTTTTGTTTTTTTTTTAATAGAAAATCAATGTATGAGGAAAAATAATTAGTCCAGTGTAAATTTGAAATTAAACAACAACTAGATCTTTTTATTTTATTAGTTTCGTATTTAATTATTTAAATTTGCTGCCTTATTATAGTAATTGTTCCATTCAAAGAAATGATGTTCGGTAAACATCCCATTGTTAATAAAAGGTAACATCTGGATTTTTTTTTTTAGTGTGGTGATTCTTTTTTAACCAATATTTTCTATTGAAGGCTCCTTGGATAGATCTCCCCGATTTCGTAAAGAGGACATTACTCGTCAAGTCCAATCTTACCTTTTTACGTTATTCTTTTCACAATTTTTCATACAAAAAAAAAAAAAATGGCCAATAAAAATAAACAGCAACATAGAAATCAACCTCCACCATCACATAAAGTTCAAGAGAATGTTTTCTTATTTATTCCAAATATTATAGGTACATATGATGTAGAATTTCCATCCTTTTTATAAATCTCACTTAATTTTACTTTTATAACCGTTTATTTAGAAAGTTTTTTATTTTATTTTTTTTTATTTTAATTTTATTATTATGATGATTATTATTATTATTATATCTTTACCAACATACTCTTAATATATTATTTTACATTAATAATTTCTTAATCAGGCTTAAAAATTTAATATTTATGTGATAAATAGGCTTTACTCGGGTCATTCTTGCCATAATCTCACTTTATTATATGCCAAACCAACCATGGAAATGTATGGGCCTTTATATAATTTCATGTCTGTTGGATGCCGTAGATGGCAATGCTGCTAGATATTTTCAACAATGTACGTGTTTCACCAAAGATTCTTTTTGAGTTTTTTAATCGCTTACATGTTTGATATTTTATATAGGTAGTAAGTTCGGTGCGGTTTTAGATATGGTAACTGACAGATCAACGACTTCTTGCCTATTGTGTTTCCTTGCTACTAAATATCCTTCTTGGACAATTTTATTTCAATTATTGATTTCTTTGGACCTTAGCAGTCATTATATGCACATCTACAGGTTATAACATTTTCTAATGAAATTTCATCACGTGATTTTGGCCTCTTTTAAATCTTATCATCTAAACCATTTTGTATTTAGTTCATTGACATCTGGTTCTTCGAGCCATAAACATATCGATAAGTCTTCAAATTTTATTTTGCACTCGTACTATTCTGATAATGTAAGTCTTTTATGTGCGTGACAGTACCCTCTTTTTTTTTTTTTTTTTTTTTATAATCGAACAATGGTACTAACGATATTTTACAGAGAGTCCTTTTTATCTTTTGTGCATTAAATGAATTGTTCTTTGTTGCATTATATCTCTTATCATTTGATCATGAAGGTATAGGAACGAGTTATTTAAGAAGATTTAAATTTCCTTTTTTTATTTTTTTTAATCATTTCTTCTTTGATTCGTTAATGACTAATATCTTTCTTCCATAATATTATAGATCCATGGTTTAATATTACAATTAAATTGATTGCTTTCATATCTTTTCCCATTTGTGCGGGAAAACAAATAATTAACGTAATTCAATTAACTCGTGCTAGTCAAACCTTAGCTAGTATTGATCTCGCTGAACGAAAAATGAACAATTGAATCGAGTTAAATTTTTATCCACATTTTATTAATATAATTATTTAGCACCTTCGCTTTTAAAATGATTTCTAAAAGGTCTTAATTCATATTTTAATTCTGTAACGCTAAAACCTTAAAATCGTCATTCTTCTTTTTCCTTTAAAGGATTTCTTCCTTTTACCTAATTTTATCACTTGTATCATTATTGTATTTCTTATCGGTGAAAACCAATCAAAATAATAAATAAATGTGTACCAATATAAAAAGGGTTTAATAGATATTATTTCAAGTCGGACCTTTATATTAAAAAAAAAGCCGTTGAATCTATCTTCTTGAGCAAATTGAATGAGTGCATAGTCACGGAAAGTAAAAGAATCGAAGAAACAAGAAAAAAAAAAAATTAACAAACCCTTAGATGAGACATTAAATTTACTTCGACTCATCAAACTTACCTTCAAATTTGCAACTTTGAACTTAATTATAATAAAAGAAAAGAAAAAAAAAAAAAAAAAAAAAGGACAGCCATAGAATTTTGAAATTTTAAAACAAAGTTTAGAATTATGTTATTATTTAAATGTCCATATAGGCTAAAATATTGTAAAAATTTCAAAGAAATTTAGGATGTTTCTAATTAATGAGATTTTATTTTTCAAATTAATATATCTTGGATTATTGTGAACGTCCACGATTGCCACGAGGTCCACCACGGAATGCTCTAGCTCTACCTCCACGTGCTAAAATAAAAAAATTTTTTTTTTATGTCAATAAATAAATTATCAATATAACATGTTTAAAAAAAAATTTTACAAAAAAATACTCATACCTTGAGCTCTAGCAACGGTGGCTTTACCTCTACCCATTCCTATACCTCTACCTTTCATAGCATTTGGACCGATCTTCTTAAACATTGGAGCATTCTTTAACATATCTGGTACGATAAAGAATCTGACGTGTGAACCTCTGATATAAACTTGATCTAATTGAGATACACGTCCATCCCTTGCCGTAACAGTAATTTCACGAAGTTGTACGTTCATATTATCCTCAGCTAAGAAATTTTTTTTTTTTATAGATACGTTATCTTTGTGTTGGATCTATTTCTAAACTAAAATAATTTTTTTTTTTTTTACCTTCAGATAATTTTCCTCTGTAAACTGTCCCATTGTTTAATTCTAAGGTCACAACATGTCCTTGAGCTTCGTGAAGTAATTTGATAGGCACACCAATCGACATTTTGTAGGTTGATTGATAAAACGTTTGAAAAATGAATTAAAAAATTTTTTTTAACTAATAATGAACAAATAAATATCTTGTGTAACATGATAACATAAATAATCTAAATAATCTTCAAATTCGGGTATTTTTGAATAGATTTAAATCAACAAAAAAAACCCAAACAATGAATTGAATAACATATAACCGGTATGTCATTTAATATGTCTCGAAACATAAAAAAATGGACAGGGATGTGTTACACTTTAAACAATAATGACATATAAAATTTCCAAAAGTAATTATGTACTCACTATTAAAAAAGCTCATACAACGTACCTACATAACCTCTCTTTTTCATTTAATACTGGCTTGTCCATTCTTTTAAACTTTCTTTATTTATAACTTAACGTATCCCCTTGTACAAAAAAAAAACAAACCTGCAAGTTCCTTCACTCTCCTCAAAAATTATTCCATAATTCTGTACTCGGGAACCCGTAGGTTTTTTTTTTTTTTTGAATTCCCCTCTGAAGTTTTATATCGGTTATTATTATTTTACCACATTTTAAGACTTCATAAAAAAATATATCCACCGTGCCTTTAAACAAAAGTGCCTCAATTTTGGGGCGGGTCCCTTTACTTCGAATAATTCACCCTCCTTCTGCAACTTATCTTCCAACTCATTACGAGCCAGGGAGTTGGCAGTATCAAGTTGCAGAAAACCTGGTAAAACTAATGAATTACCATAATTATTAAGATTTTAACCATTTATTTTAATAATTCATTTTTCATTTTTTTTTTTTCCTTTTGAACAAATAAAATTAATAGGTAAAAAGTAGAGGGAATTATGAGTTTAGCGAGACCGGACCACCAATTTTACCGGTTTTAAAGATAGAAGAATCCATGCAAGATAGGTCAATAGTATCATTACCTAATGTTGAGGGTTCAATTCCAAAAACACTAATGACTTCATTGGACTCAAATGATCCTAATTCGGACAATATGTTCTCTGATTCGAAAGAGGTCATAATTCCTTTATCACCATTGAAAAGAGCAATTACAACTAATACGGATAATGGATATTTACCGGTTCAAGATTCGGATAGTAAAAGGATTTCACGGGCATCATCTGGCTCAGATTCATTACCATCCTGGGCTTACGCGTATTATACTCTTCCATCAGACAGTAACAGGGATACCCTTTTGCAAGATAGAACAGATGAATCAGACATAATCATGTCGGAATCCTCTGCGGCAGCTGGCGTTGGAACGCCTGATTATAATAATAAGAAAAGCAATTCTCAAAAATCCCCTTCGAGTCGTAGTAAACCTTCTCGTTTTTCATTTAAACTACCTTCAACGACAAGTTTTCATACATTATCACAACGAGCATTTCATTACTCAAGGGAACCTTTTAATATATGTCCATTCGGTTCGGTTTTGTTTACGATGGGATTTATATTTCCGCCACTTTGGTGGTTTGGATCCTTTTACCCTCGGCATTTAAAATCTACCTCTGATTTTCGATGGAAAAGATACAATCGATTAATGTCAATTTTTTCGTTCTTCTTGATAGCTGGTATACTGGCTATAACAATTTGGTATTTAAGATATTATGTAGAACCGGATGAATTCAAATTGGTATAACAAGTGGTGGACTTTTTTTTTTTACCTTAAAATTTTTATAAATCCCTGTTTTTGATTTGGGAAGGATTGGTTAGATATTATATTTTTTATTTATTTTTATTTTATTTTTTTTGAATCTTGGGGGGGGGGGGACTCTAACAGATTTAGAATTTCCTTAATAATATATATATTTTTTTTGTAACATCTAAAACTTTAATAACGATAATAATTTGAGAAATTTACTTTTTACACCTTTTTTTTTTGTGTACATAGTGATTTAATTTCTTTTTCTTTTTCTTTTTTTTTCTTTTTTCTTTTTTAGTTTTTTTTTAGATTTTTTTTTTTTTTTTTGTGTGCTGGACTTTGGACATTTCCTTTTCCCACCAATAGATAATTAGAACATAAAAATAAAAGTGATTCTTTTAGAATTAATTTATTTCCGATAAACAATTGTTTTTTAATTATTGTTAATCATGACAAATATAATTGTTATAATGTAATAATAATAAAATTTTTTTTGGTATGATCCATCTTTCAAGCGAAATATTATGTAAACGATCTTTTGTGCGTCTTAGAGGTACTCGAAACCTTTGTTAATTGTAATTCATAAAGTTGAATGTTCAGATAAATTTACTTAAAACCTCGATCCATTTTCTTCTGAAAAGCATTCTTACGATCGTGATTAGCATGTTTTTTTCTAGGCCAACTTTTACCGCGCGTTGAGTAAGCACCGGAAGCACCATTTTCACCATTTGCACCACTTTCACCATTTTCATCATTGACACCATTCGCGTCATTGGCTTCATTTACATCATTTGTGCCAGTAACATGATTATGCACTCCGCCCCTTCCTCTACCTCCCTTGTTCCATCCTCTACCTCCTCTAGCTCTATTACCTCTACCTCCTCTAAATCCGTTGTATCCTCTATTTCCCCTTCCCGTATTATATCTACCCCTATGTTGATTATGATTTTCATGCTGAAGGGATGTGCCAGAAGAAATTTCGCCAGAATCATTTAAAGGTTCTTCACGATTGCCTTTCCACTCGTATTTCGCGAGTAATTTCTCCTTTCTTGGCTATAGAAACGAAATAAAGAAAAATGAACATAAATCATTATTTTTTTTAAAAAAAAAACCCCCAACTCAAAATAGGTCATTCCAATTTTAAAGATATTTACGTTTCTCTGGAACATGATATACCATCCCTCTATTTGTTCATCAGTCATTTGTGTAATTCTCCTAAGATGAACACGTTTACCTGACTTTCTTACAGTACTCGTCCTATCAAATACTGACGGATCTGATTGATACATTTTGATAAGTTCTTGTTCGTTCATAATACCAGGATCAATCTTTTTTAAATAAATGAGGAAAAAGGAATTAGGTCAAAGGAATGGGTGACTTGTTTTGTCCAAGATATGATCCAATTTACCTCTGTCTTATCACGTGAATTCGTGTCTGATCTGTCGTCCAGCTCGTCAACCATGCGAAGGTCGATTCCACGCATGTTCAAACCACTAGTATCATAAGTATCATCATATTCATCCTCATACATCATATTATAAGCTACATCCATTATTGATTCTTTATGAGTTTCAACAAATGATTTATCATCCAACAATTTATCAACCGTACCACGTCTTAATAAAAGAGAAACAAATAATTCGAATTAAAAGTAAATTAAAAGGGGAACATGATAATAAAATGAATTTGCAACATAAACTGTAGGATGACTAACTTCATCTTTCCTTTATGCATTCTAGATACTTCAAGAGTTTTTCCTGAAAACACATCGAATTCATCATTATCAAATATGTTCTTTCGTTGGGATAGTAAATCATCACCAACTAATAATCGAAATTTGAATATATTAAAAAAAAAGTCTCTAATAAAAAAATAATAATCACAAATACTTTAGAAAGGAAAACCGATCGAACCATTTTGATATTCAACCGCTTTCTGACTAAAATAAAAAAAATGACGGGTAAAAAAAAAAGATTTCACAGTTATAAGGTTCCGCTAAAGCTTAAATCTCATTTAAAAGCATACATACCGCGCCATCTTACGGTCCAACGATTCTAGATGTTCTGGAAGTGACATTGACAATAATCGATCTATGACAGTTTCTACATTATTATCAAATGTAATCAAACATTTCTCAATAAAACCTTCACCCAAATCAGGGAACATTTCTTGTACTTGTGATATTGAGTGCATTTCATCCTCATTGATGCCATTAGACTAAATAGGACAATGAACAGACATGAGTTGTTGTTAAAGTAATCTTTTACGAACGATAAATATAATTATTCTACCTTGATATTAAAATCAGCAATATTGGCTTTTTGTCCATTAAAACCGTTGGATACACGCGACGCATATCGCTTTTGCTTTTGATCTAATCGCATACGCCACGGTGCCTTTTCAGTTTCTTGATTCATATTTTGCATAGATTCCAAAGACATAATTATAAAATCAATTTCAGCATCTTCAGTGTGAAAAAATTAAGGAACACTATAATAGATAATTTCACGTATCATATAAAAGAGAGAGAGATCTAAAAATATATATAAAAGGATATCCACAAATTTCGTTTTTTATTTTGGTTAATTTTCCACTTAAATCGAATTCGATTTCCACATCCAAAAGTAAAGGAGCATCAATAAGATATTGTACGGGCTTCTCTAATGGTGAAAGTTCAATCATCCACATCAATCCACTAACCATCCTATTTAAAGTTTCATTCAAGTCTCCCAAATTTTCATCAGATTTTGTAAATGAATAAATATCATCTTCACTGGATGTAAATCCTAAAGGGCTGAAAAAATATGCGTCGAAAATATGATATACTAATGATATTAGAGCATGTTTTAATATGTTAAAATCACGAAATATTTCTTGTGATTCATTTCCAGAAATAAATATATTTAATATTGATGGTACTATGTCATCATAAAATATTTTTATTGTCACTAAAAAATCTTCTTCGTCTGAATATTCGTTACTGCTAAATATGTATGCTATAGATTTAGAAACTGTAAACAAACAGTCTAAAGTGATAGATATGTCTAAAATATAACTCAAATAAATCTTTGCATCTGATATTATTGAATCATAATTAACATTCTCACTCTTGCAATCTTTCTCGCTGAATTCTTTAAACTTATTTTGAATTGCCTTAATATAATTGTACAGAGTAATTGAATGGGATTCGAAATCCTTCGTCAATTCCGGAACCGAATCCATTATATTGTCCATAATTTTCTTGGTACAAGTAAAATTGGATTTTCCATAAGTTGCAACTAAATCAAGTAAAAATGGTACGGAGATCCAATTTTTACGATAAAGTTCCCCCATTAAAGATTTTGAATTTCTGGACATATTTGATGAAAATTTTGATTCTGAAACGCGCAGCAAAACATTCAATACTTTCTTTTCTAATTCTTTATTACGAAATTCAACGTTTTTAACATCGCGGGATCTAGCATGAGTTCCAAGGAATGTTTCAAGAAACTTTTGAAGAGAATTATTCTGTAACATTTGTTTTTGAAAAATTTTATCTTGGAGCCGGAGAAGCAACGATAGATTTGCGTTCCAAACATTAATTGCTTCTACCCAATCTTCTTCCATAAAGTTTCGAGGTTCGAGATCCTCAACATAAGGTGGGAAAATCAAATTGTCTGCTGTCATTTTCAGAAAATTTTCTCGTTGTTTGAAATATTTTTATGATGATTTTTGTAGTGATCGATACACAAAAATAAATTTTGTTTTTCTATGGATCATACATTTATAGATTTAGAACCAGACACATGATGTAATATTATAATTTACTAATACCTTCATAAATTAAGATCAGGTATAAATTTATCAATCATAGTAATAATTATCTTCTAATTCTGCATAATTTTTGTATATTGGGATACCTAGGTCAAACTATTAATTAGCAACTGATAAAGTTAATTAATTAATACTTATAAGTTCAATGATTAAATATTTAACTTATACAATTTAAGTTGCCAATTTTGATCTGACAAAACGGTTAAACCTTTAGTTTCGCGGATTTTTATAAGGTTTTAATATAATTTACTAAATTTTATCTTTTACTATTAGATAACTTGCAAAATTGGGTTTTATTTAGAAACCTTATATGCAATATAAATTCTATATTTTATATAAGAAAAATTTATGAGAAAGAATTTGTTATGAATTTTTATAATATAATAATGAAATACAATATATCAAAATCAATAACAGTAATTTTATATAGGAAAGTATGTATTAGATTAAAAGATTTGATTTTCTAATCTTTATCTTTTTTTTTGATATATAACAGAACTTTATCATATACTTTTTGATGAAATTTTCATTAATAAGCTTATGTTATATTTCTATATAAATGCCAAATCCAAATCATCATTATATATATACTTGTATTTAACTTTCATATATTTATCTTTCTTTGCATAAAACCTTAATTATTTTATAATTAAATTCAAATTTTATCATAACATTTATAAAAAGAATCCTATTAAATATATTATGTTGTTTCTGAATCTGAAATTACAAAATATTAGTTTAATATAATTTAAGATAAATAATCAATCTGAAAATTTATTAAATAAATGTAGTATAATAAATTAAATCTGTAAAATTGCTAAAAGAATTCTAAATTAAAGAAAGATTTAATTGAAAATCTTTAAACTCTAATTTATTTAATTTGTAATATATTTAATTATCAATTTCAAAAATAAACCTATTAAATATTTAACAAAAGAAAATAAAAGATTTTGAAAAATAATTCAATTTATAAATAAAAATTTTATATATGAAGATGTATAATAAAGCATATAAAATAAAGAGTAATAAAATATTAATTAATTTAATTGACTGTAAAAAAAGCTTGATTAACTTATCTTTTTATAAATATATATGCAAAAAATTTTAAAGCATTATTACAAATTATAATAATCAAAAAATGTGATAAATTAATCTATACTATTTGTTATCCTTTTTATTATCAT